TGTGTGTGTGTGTGTGTGTGTGTGTGTGAGAGTGTGTGTGTGTGTGTGTGTGTGTGTGTGTAACTCTTGTGCAGCAGCAGCTGATGTGAACACACTCTCACACTAACAAACTGACTTAACAAAACAAAGAGAAACACGCTCATCATCATCATCATCATCATGATGAATGACATCAACAGGAATGAGCGGCAGTGAGGATGACAGGATCGATGAGCTCTTACCTCGTACTCCTCTTTGAAGCCGTAGCCCTCGGCGCATTTCATCTGCGTGATGTGCTGCAGCAAGTCGGCCACACGGATGGCGGGATGCAGCTGGCCTGTCTGGTACGGCACGTCCACGGCCTCACGCTTGCACAGCGAGTGTGTGTGTGACGAGTGTGTGTGCGTGTGCGACTGCACCAGGCTGCTGGTGTCGCTGGTCAGGGTTTGAGTCTCGTCTGCAACACAGGACAGAAAACACACGCGATGACGTCGCGGCAGTGAAACACGTCACACTTACAGTCACACTTACGCTTGCTTTTACAGTGACTTCAGTCACATGACCTCGCAAACGGGCCCTAACAAATTTAAATGAGCTGAAATGTAGTCTTAAATTGAAAGAATACTTCACTAAAAATAAAAATGCGTCATTATTTATTCACACTCACATCATTCCAAACCTGCATGCTGTGATTTCAATATGCGAAATAATGTTAATAATATAAATAAATATAATATAATATTATAATATAAAAACTAATAATATAAAATAAAAATATAATATATATTATAATACAAATTTTTTATATAATAAATATAAGTATATACATTTAAGTAATAAAAAATCATTTATTCTGTGAAAAAAAACAAAACAAAACTAAATCATATAACCCTGCTTAAAAAAACTCTGAAATTCAGCCTAAACTGGTCTTTAAATTGGATGTAGCTGGCTTAAGCTGGTCTTCCAATCTGGCTGGCTAAAAAGTGGTCAAAACCCCTCTAAAACCAGCCTGTTAAACCAGCTAAGACCAGCCAACCAGCTTAGAATGGTTTTAGCCATTTTTTCAGCAGGGATATGGTGCTCTATGTAAGAGAGAGACTGAAATTTAAGCAGTTATTCAGTGAAAATACAGACACATAACAGAAAAGTAACACCTTACAGGTTTGGAACAATATGAGAGCAAGCAAATAAAGACAAAAAGTACATTTTTGGATAAACTTTTCTTTTTGAACAAGTAAGGCAAGACACTACAGGTGAAAAGGATAGAAATTTAAGTAATAAATATCACCATAGCAGTTTTTTTTAAAGTATTATTGAGATACTAGTATAGTTTTTGCTAATATTTTGAATTATACTTCATTTTTATATTTTCTGCTTTCATGTTAACTTTAAAGGTTTTGTAATTTTGTAGTGCTTTCACATTTTTGTTAGTTTCTGTATATAGTTTTTTGTTAGTTTTTATTTTATTATATAATTTTTTAAATATGCATTAATTTGCATACATTTCCAGAACATAAATCTGAATATTGGATAAAGCCAGGATCAAAATTCTCATTTGATTTTGTTGACATATTAGAGTTAAAGGTTTTTACTGAGATGATTTTGGATTTCTCTTTTTATCACTCCATAGATCAGAAAATACTGTCAACAGACAGAAAAATAATTAATTTTCGCCATGTTTTTAGGACTAAAATGTTATATAAATCAGTGTGAATAATATATAAGCAAACCCCTCAGTAAAAACCTTCAGAATATAGGTATGAATAAAACCCTAAGTTTTGGTATGTGTAAGTGCTGCTGCAGAGGAGAAACAAACTCATTGCCTTCAAAAATATGCATTTTACCACGTTTTTAGGAGTAAAATGTTGTATAAATTAGTGTGAATGATATATGAACAAACCCCTCAGTAGAAACCTTCAGAATATAGAGAGGAATAAAACTCTAAGTTTTGGTGTATGTAAGTGTTACTGAAGTGGAGATAAAACCTCACCACCTTTAAAGATATGCATATTTACCATGTTTTTAGGAGTAAAATGTTATATAAATCAGTGTGAATAATATATAAGCAAACCACTCAGTAAAAACCTTCAGAATATAGGTATGAATAAAACCCTAAGTTTTGGTATGTGTAAGTGCTGCTGCAGAGGAGAAACAAACTCATTGCCTTCAAAAATATGCATTTTACCACGTTTTTAGGAGTAAAATGTTGTATAAATTAGTGTGAATGATATATGAACAAACCCCTCAGTAGAAACCTTCAGAATATAGATAGGAATAAAACTGTAAGTTTTGGTGTATGTAAGTGTTACTAAAGTGGATATAAAAGCTTTTAAAGATATGTATTGTAACTGAAATCTACAGACGCAAATAGATAAAGTGCAATAATATAAACACTTGTGTGTTTTGACCAGTGCAATGTTTCTCCTGTAGTGTCTTTGCCTTAATTGCCTGTATTTTTCCAGTTAATCAATCAGTGTAAAAGAAAGCGCTTGATTGGTTTCCCATTCATTGGCGATGGATGATCATGACACGACGTTGCAGGAAGGGTGGATGAGTGGATGTGGAGGGAGGGATCGATTGACTGCCCCGCTCGTTCATTCCTTCGTGAAATATCACGTGATATAACTTCAAAGAAACACGGCTAGAATCGGCCTGTGTGCCTGTTTCGCCCTGATCTGAGATCTGCCATGAGGCGTGGGTGCTGTCAATCAACAGCAAAGCATGAGCGGATAATCGGACGTGTGATGACGGATGTTCAGAGCCACATGGGCCAAAGCACAACAAGCCAAAGCAAAGAGAGCAGAAACACGATGCAGACGCACACGGGAGGAGGATGATGATGAGGATGATGATGAAGATGCGGTGGACGAGTGATGCTGTAACGCGCCAATGGAGGGAGGAGGATGTGACTCTAGTGAAACACACAACCTCTGTCACGCTGATGAACTTACCATTAATGGGGACTTTTTAAGCAGATACATTAGAGGTTAAATGAGAGAAGAGAGAGACAGAGAGAGAAGAGAGAGAGAGAGAGAGGAGACAGGGTATAAGCAACAATTACACCAAAGATAACTAGCAGAGCTCTGATCAGTCGCAGGGCGATCGGGGATCCGGGTGTTATGGGACTCAAATCACAATGAAGGAGAAAAATGAGTTTCAAAACAAAAGAAGAAATGCAAATAAAACTGATGAACATTGCAGTCGCTTCATGGAGATCTACAGAGCAGCTGCCTCGATCGAGTGTGCTGAGGAGGTCAAAGGTCACACGAAGGCCAATCAGACTCGTCATTTGTCAAATTACATGACCTCACCCTCAAAAATGATCAACAAAAATACGGCTTTAATGGGGATAAACATGATCTGTGCTGAACTCGATGTGTTTTGTGCATTGAATTACTGGCTTCGAGACAATAAATGCATTTAATTAGAATTTAAAATTAAGATCATTAAAAATATAACCAAAATAACTAACTACATAAATAAATATTATTATTATTTTTATAAATTGTAAAAATAGAAATCTAATAATTGTATTAAATTATAAATTATAATTAAAAATAAAATTATAATAAAATACAATACAGAATAAAATAAAAAAATATGAAAAATGAATAAAAACAATAATAAAATAATTAATAGCAAAATAATTAAAAATATAAAAACAGAAATATATTAAATTAATTAAACTATAAATGAAAATGACGATAAACAAACAAACAAATAGAAATACAATAAATGCATTAAATTATAAATTAAAATGAAATCAAATAAATGAAACATTTCAAAATAATGAATAAAAATGATACAAAAATAGAAATATAATAAATGCATTAAATGATTAATTACAGTTTAAATTATAATAAAGACGAGTGATGCTGTAACGCGCCAATGGAGGGAGGAGGATGTGACTCTAGTGAAACACACAACCTCTGTCACGCTGATGAACTTACCATTAATGGGGACTTTTTAAGCAGATACATTAGAGGTTAAATGAGAGAAGAGAGAGACAGAGAGAGAAGAGAGAGAGAGAGAGAGGAGACAGGGTATAAGCAACAATTACACCAAAGATAACTAGCAGAGCTCTGATCAGTCGCAGGGCGATCGGGGATCCGGGTGTTATGGGACTCAAATCACAATGAAGGAGAAAAATGAGTTTCAAAACAAAAGAAGAAATGCAAATAAAACTGATGAACATTGCAGTCGCTTCATGGAGATCTACAGAGCAGCTGCCTCGATCGAGTGTGCTGAGGAGGTCAAAGGTCACACGAAGGCCAATCAGACTCGTCATTTGTCAAATTACATGACCTCACCCTCAAAAATGATCAACAAAAATACGGCTTTAATGGGGATAAACATGATCTGTGCTGAACTCGATGTGTTTTGTGCATTGAATTACTGGCTTCGAGACAATAAATGCATTTAATTAGAATTTAAAATTAAGATCATTAAAAATATAACCAAAATAACTAACTACATAAATAAATATTATTATTATTTTTATAAATTGTAAAAATAGAAATCTAATAATTGTATTAAATTATAAATTATAATTAAAAATAAAATTATAATAAAATACAATACAGAATAAAATAAAAAAATATGAAAAATGAATAAAAACAATAATAAAATAATTAATAGCAAAATAATTAAAAATATAAAAACAGAAATATATTAAATTAATTAAACTATAAATGAAAATGACGATAAACAAACAAACAAATAGAAATACAATAAATGCATTAAATTATAAATTAAAATGAAATCAAATAAATGAAACATTTCAAAATAATGAATAAAAATGATACAAAAATAGAAATATAATAAATGCATTAAATGATTAATTACAGTTTAAATTATAATAAATAATTAGTTACAAATTAAAATTATAATAATTATAATAAACATTATAATAATAATAATAAAATTGAAAAATGGAAATATGTATTAAATGATCAATTAAAATTATTACAAATATAATAAAATGAAACATAAAAATAAACAAAAATGAATAAATAAAATATAAAATAATAAATAGCAAAAATGTTAAATATAGAAAAACAAATATAATAAATGCATTAAATTATAAACAAATAAACAAATGGCAGTGCTTGATTTGAAGACTTTTGAACAATAAATACTTGATGTCCAGTATAGAATCTACATCGTTAGGCGCAAGCGGTTGAGAAGCGTTGAAGCAGCTGATTGTGCTTCTGCTCGTGTTGAACATCAGCATCATCTTCACTGCTCCATAAACCCTTGTGTGCCGGAGGTGAAGCTTTGCTGTTTTTCCCCCGTTTTATTGTGTAATGTAAACCTGTTCCCGCTCGAGCGATTATTTACACGTGCCGTTAGCCGAGAGTCATTCCTATTTAATACGCCGCTCTGAGCTCTTATTTTTCATCACATTATGTTTCAATTAAATTCTCAGGGCCGACTCTGGGGTACGGAGCGCTTTAGATAAATAGGGCGTAGAGGTGCCGCGAAAATGAGACAAAACCTGCTTTATTATTCCATTTTATCATAGAATAAACCAATAAACAGCTGCAAAATAAGAAAAATAAAAACAAGTAGGTCAGAAAGAGTTGCTAAAGGCAGAAGAAACATTAGAGAGAATAGCAGAGAAGCAAAGAAACACTGGAGTGGATGTAGAGAACGAGCCGTCCTTCTCCAAAAACTACAAAAAACATCCCGAGGGGAAAGTCGACACCGGCAGAGCTGTCTCCACATTTACACAGTAAAGCATTCGCTCATGAACTGCATCAGTCGACCTGAAGAACCACAGAGCGATGCATTTATGTTTGCATTCATGCATTCGCCAGGCGCTTTTATTGCATGTATCATTTTATCAGTTCTTCAGTTCTAATGCAACAGCATCATCATCAGGCCTAGTTTAATAAACCCTAAAACTTTAAACTTGCACTCCTCAGTGTCTCGGTGTTCACAAAAACTGCTTTCATAAAAATTACATTAAATTTAATAGTAATTAACATAATACATTAATTTAATACATATTTTAATAAAGTAATAAATACATTTTTAATTATGTTTAAAATATAATTGATTTTAAAAGATTATAAACTAATTGAAATAATAATATTAAGTGTATAATAATAATAATAATAAGAATAAATTGAATTAATTAAATAATAATTTAAATTGAATTAATTAAAATGTGATAATTGATTATTAAATTATTAAATTAAATGTATTACTTTATATAATTATATAATAATAATAAATTATTATTATTAATATAACTAATAATATAGTAGTAGTAGTAATAATAATACACTTAATTTGATTTCATCTTCTAGTATGGTTTGTTTAATCCATTTTTGGATGGTTTTTTAGAGTTTTTCTGACTGAATTCAGGGGATTGATTTATTAACATCACCGCTCAAGTGTGTTGAATGTGCAGCTACAGCATCATCCATCCACTCCTCCACATCCAGTCCACATGTCTGTCCATGCAAATGAGATGTCAGACAGGAAGTGACATCACACGCACGAGGCTTGATGCGGATGGGATGGAGTGAAGGCGGAAGCCAAAGGAAGAGAAGCGACAGACAGACAGACAGACGAGTGAGCTGATGAGAAGCTGTAAAACAAGCCAAATCAAACCAACATGATGAGGAGAAACACAGACGCGGCTCACCTAAGATCGCAGTGGGAACGAAGGGGTCTGGAGGAGAAGCAGAGAAACACACAAACCATCAGTCCGTCTGAATGAACAGCTTTCTAGCAGATCTCAAAGCTCGACTGTCCAGCAACAAGATATTTCCTTCAGTGTTTCTACTATAATCTTGATCAAATTACTTGTTTTTATAAACAAACAGAATTTTTTTTTCTTGATTTTAAGCATTGTTTAGCATTTTAATTAAGTAAAATGTATTATTGTTAATTATTTTATTATTATAATATTATATAATTACAAACATATTTAAAATATTATTAATACATTAAAATACAGTAATAATAATAATAATTAAAATTATTATTATTATTAATCCAAATTATTTTAAGTTATTATTGGGTCTTATGGAGGTCATAAAATAATTTCTGCCATAAGTATAACAA